CATCCACGTGGGGAAACTGTTCCCAGAGATCATTATAATTGACAGCTTGACTTTTGTCAACATTTCCATAACTGCTCCCCAGTCTCTCAGCCAGCCCTGGTGTCCCAAGGGCAGGCAGGTCTTGCAGCACTCTTGGAAAGCAGCTCAGAGGGGGAGATTTTAGCAAGGCCTTGGAGTGTTCTCCTCCCTGCAGCACAGAGGGGAAAGGGGATTTTGAGGAGAGCAGTGACAGTAACTGTGGCAGGAATAGGGCCCGTAGGTGGTGAGCCAGCCCTGCCAGCACCCACTGGTGACAGTGACTCTTGCCTGCAGAAGGTGAAGGAGAGGCTGCTGTGTCACGCCATCGTGGGGAGAGAGAAAAGGAAGAAGCAGATAATGCAAGTGGATGTCAGATGCGAGTTCATTTTTCCCCTCGTGCAAATATCTTCCAGAGCAATCGTGTTCCGTGTGGAGAAGGTAAGTCTCTGGATTGCGTCCTGTCATGGCATTTAATGGGCATGGCTGTTAAATCAGCTGCAAGGGTGGAAACTATTAGATAGAGTAAATACAGATGTATGCACTTCAGGGGTTGAAAAAATGTGAAATGCATCGGAAGGGGAAGGGGGTCTGTGGCCATCTGAAGTTGTTTTTCCTTGTCTCCTATTTCTGTAGCGGCCCAGTGATGTCCTGACCCTCCTACACAAGCCCCTGTCTTTAAAAAACGTCTCCTCCCTGCCACTCAGCATTGTGCTGGACTTGAAGAAGCCATTCCTAATCTGTGGTGAGGACCAGCAGCCCCTCCCTAAAGATGCTCAGGTGAACAGCCAGGGACCTTCCTGCTGGTGGGGTTTGAAGAGGGAGGGCTGTTGGGTGGTCCTAGAGTCGAGAAGCTTCTTCTGTAGAGTCAGCAGGTGGGCTGGCCTGAACTGAATCAGCAGAGCTGCTGAAGGAAGCAAAACCTCACTCGAATTGGCAAGACCCATCCTGGCTCTAAGACACAGGGAGCAGACAACTGGGTCTGGGCAAGCCATCCAGCCTCCTGGAGAGCACCCCAGCTCTCCAGCAGCCACCTCCTTGTGTTGCTGCCAAGCACAGAAACATGAGATGAGAGAATCCTGGCCCCAGAGCGTGGTGCTCACAGTCAGACCCTCAGCGTGTGGAAATGAAGGGTGAACTGGGAAGGCCACGCTGGGGTCACACTTTGAACCTTTAATGTTTCCTGCTGTCAGACCTTGGGACTTCATCTCAGAGGTGATTAACACCCTTCATCTCCTTGCAGCCCATAAAACTGGAGGTAGAGGAGGAACTTCACCTCCGCATCCGGTTCAACCCGGCGTACAAAAAGGATCTGAACAGCCGGGTGGCGGAGAAGACGCTGAACGTGTGGTTCGTGGAGCACCCCCACGAGGAGCAGGTCACCGTTCGGGGGGAGGTCTACTTCCCAAACCTCCATATCCAGACCGAGGCCCTGGACTTTGGCTGCGTCCTGAACGACACGGAACAAGTGCGCTGTGTGGCGATGACCAACTGCAGCCCAATCCCCGTCCGCTACCGCTGGTCCTTCCAGACCGACAGCCAGGTCAACACCATAAGGTGGGTGCTCCTTTTGACCTCTGCTCGAAGCTCTTCTCCCTGGTGTCCTGTTTGTGCTCTTTGCCTGGGGTCTGACTCCAAAGTGCTTTGGAGATTTCCTTGCGGAAATAACAACAACCAGGGAGCTCAGGGAATAGGTGATCCCTACCAGTTGGACACTGGGACTGTAAGACACTCCCAACCCTTTTTGCCCAGCAGTAACCTGGAGTCCTGCTTTACCTCTGGAGCTACAAAGCCATGCTAAGGCACTTGGACAAGCAGATCTACAATGTGAACTCTTCTCCTTCCCTGCCCAACCCAATTTGTTGTCCTTTCCTACAAAAAAACCTGCACAAGTGCTGCCACCAGAGTGCATCTAGGGATGGCTGTAGCTGTTGGTGGGAGCACTTGTCTGAACATCCCTGGGAAGCAGGGCCATCCAGGGCTGGGCTGTGCTTTCCAAGCCCAAGTGCAATCCTGCAGTCGTGCTGGGGCACATCTGTAAACACATTTCTGGCAGTTCCTCCTGCTGTGGCCTGTGCAGAAGTGCAGAAGTCTGGTCTGGGCCGTTTTTATTAGAGAAGCAAACAGTTTTTCCAGAATGCCCCAAGGAAACTGAGCCCAGTTAACCACTGGGCATTGAAGTGCTGCAGTTGCAAAGGACAGAGCTCATCCAGAAAGTTTTGTTTAGGGAACTGGAACCTGGCTCAGAGGAGACAATCTCTTGGGAGATGACATGTTATTTTCCAGGTTCAACCCTCCACCACCTAAATTCAAACCCAAACCACCAAAGAAGGAGAGAGACTCTTTGAAGTACTCAGCGTTGTCAAGGAGGCAGTCCAGTGCTGGAAGTGTGGAGGAGCCAACCAAAGCCCCTGAAGCAGTGCAGGATCCTGCCCAACAGCCAGAAGGTTCAGAAGACTCTCTGGGAGCAGTGCAGGGTTCTGCCCAAGAATCATCAGGTTCAGAGGACACTCTGGGAGCAGTGCAGGATCCTGCCCAACAGCCAGCAGGTTCAGAGGACTCTCTTGGAACAGTGCAGGGTCCTGCCCAAGAATCAGTAGGTTCAGAGGACTCTCTGGGAACAGCGCAGGGTCCTGTCAAAGAGCCAGCAGGTTCAGAGGATGCCCTGGAAGCAGAGCAGGATCCTGCCCAAGAGCCAGCAGGTTCAGAGGATGCCCTGAGAGCAGCGCAGGGTCCTGCCCAACAGTCAGCAGGTTCAGAGGACTCCTTGGAATCAAAGGTAGATTGTCTTGTGCACCTACCCCTTGCATTGCCTCCCAAACTTGCCCCTGCAAAGCCGAGCTGGTGTCAACCCCCCTTTTTGCTGTCCTGCTGCCCTGTGCCCTGAGAGTGGGCTGAGCAGCAGGGCCAGTGGCTGGAAGTGGGGCATCTGGGGAGGGAGAAATAGGATAGTTTTGCCCAGAGAAGCCCACTCAGATCCTACAGACTCACTATGTTGAGTTTGGGATTTTTTTTTTTTTGCTTATTTTCTTTACAACATAAAATGAGGGGTTTATCTCCATCATGATGAGAAGGCTTTTGGTTTCCTTCCTGCACCAAGCTGTGCTGAGTCCTGATCTCCATTTCCCCCTTTCCACCCCATCTAGAGCCACCATTTTCACATCCCTGCCTTTCACCCAAGAGCAGGTATTCCAGTCTTTTTTAAAGCAAGGCTTCTCTTCCTCCTAGCGTGGAAAATGGCCTTTGGTCTGCTGACCTGCCTGGTGAATCTTGGTGCTTTGGAGCGGGAACTGGCCCCTTGCTCTGGGTCATGTGGAACAGAGGCTGCTCATGGGGCAGTAAAAAAAGGATGTAAGGAAGCAGGGGAGATTCTGAAAGCACCAGTGTTGGCATTAGGTTCAAAGGGAGGAGTTGTACCTGCTCACGCCCTAATATCGGTCATTTTAACTCTGCATATTTTCCTCTGGATCAGGAGAAACGATACCCATTAGACACAAAGAATAGTGTGGCTGAATGTTCTCAGACAGAAGTGTGAAATCATCTTTATTTCCTGGTTGTTGTCTGTATGTACAAGTAAAACAGGGAAAAGGGGCTATCTGAGAATCCTGGAATGGTTTGGCTTGGAAGGGACCTTGGTTTTGCCAGGAAGGGCCCTTCAAAGATCCTGTAGCTCGCTCTGCCTGAGTGCTGGGGGTATCCAGTTCCCTCGTGCAAACTTGCATGTAGGAAGAGCAGCCCATGGTGCTTTTTTTCCAGCTGCTGCCAGCAGAGCCTCAGAGCCTGGAGACCATGCAGAGGTGGAGGCAGTTCCTGGAGGTGGAGCACCTTGCCTTGGGAATGGAAGAGGTGAGTGGGTATCTGTCTCGCTTCCACGTGTCCAGCGTGGAAAGCAGTTCTGCAGCCCCCACTCCCACTGGTGGTCCTCGGCATTGCCCACAGAGGGGCCTCAATCCTTCCAAGCCCATCACAAAATGCTGTCTAGGCAACTGGTCACTGGAGAGGCCATGGGGGACTTGTAGTAGGGCTGCCCAAGGATGCTCCCAGTGCAGCACCTGCTCCCCTTGTACCTCATCAGGTGGTTGAGTGGAAAGTTTTGCAGGAGCTTTATGCTGTAGCACCTTGAGAGAGCAGCATGTAAATCAGAGAGGGAGAGGGAAAAGCCTCAGGTGTCAGATGAGCCGAGCTGGAGTCCTCTCCCCACTTCAAGGGCTTTCACCTCCAAGTCTCCTGTTTGTCTGAAGGCAGTAAAAGTGTTTTCAAAGGCAAGTTCTGCAGTGGAGAGAACATCTTGCTGTCAGGAGACATCCCAGTTGGATGTGGTGTATTAATTAATGCATTGAGCAGTGAGCATGGAAGAAGATTTTCCCTTTGGTCCCTCCAGTGTTGAGTGGCGTGGAGGCAGGAGGAGATCAGGATGACTCTGGCTGTGTTGGAGGAAGAGGCCCCTCCAGTCACCTCTGTGCTTCTCTCCAATCCCCGGCTGCTCTTCCACAGCCATTTCCACGCTCAGCATCTCGACCTCTCCTCCCCTCCTGCAGGTTTTCGATGTGCAGCCGGTGTCGGGTGTGCTGCAGCCTGGGGAGACCCAGCAGGTGCCCTTCACCTTCTTTGGCCACGCCAACATCGTGGCCCGTGCCACGGCGCTGTGCCACGTGGAGGGGGGCCCGACCTATGAGGTGGAGCTGAGCGGGGAGGCTTCGAGCCTCAGCTACCACCTGGACATCCACGACATCGACTTTGGGCTGCAGGTACCGCCCCCTTCTCCTGGCAGAGCTGCTGGCTTGGAACCATCACCAGCCCAAGGGTCTCTCCCCTTCCCAGCTCCTTTGTTGGCTCTGGGCCCTGGAAAGGACAACCTTTGAGGGGTGTGTCCAGAGGGACATGGGGGATCCTAGGGGGGATGTCCAGAGGGACATGTCCCTGAGACATCCCTCTGCTGATCCTCTTCTAACGCTTGAGCTCCAGGGAGGTGCTCTCCTCTAATGCTCTTGCTTAATCTACAAAATAATCCAGGGAGGAAGTTGGGCTTCCAGTCGCTGTAGCTGGAGGGAATGCCCCACAATAATCCTCACTTTACTTCTTTTTAGTTAAAAGCCCACAGATATTTCCAGCTGCTGGCCCTGTCTCTGTTGCCCCTGTGTGTGTCTCCCTTCATTCCTATCGATGTATTTGCTTGCCAACACTTGCATGCAGGTGCCTTTTCCTCTGGAATGCCTTGATGTTGTTTCACCAGGCTGTTGGTGACCCCTCAGAGTAAAGAGGGCCCTGGTTCATTTATTACTGGCCCTTACCTGGTTATTACCGTATCTCTGAATGCTGCCAGACCTCCCTGCTCCTGTGCAGGGCCAAGAGGTGCCCCGTGCCTGGCCCAGGCTGACCTGGGATGGTCAGGTGCCTGGATCTCCTCCCCAGTCCCTGCTCTTGCACTGTGGCTGTCTGCTTCTAACCCCACGAAAGAGGAAGGAGATTCCCAGCAGCAGGCTGGTATCTGCAACTTCCCATTCCTCTGTCCTCTCTCTAGCTGTTTAACAAAGTTCTCCAGGCAGAGGTCACTCTGCAGAACACCGGGATCATTGGATTCACCTACAAGGTGCTGAACCCCAGCACTGCCAAGGCAGACAGCCCTCTGCCTCGGGAGCCCGTGGTCGTGCCCAGCACGGTGAGTGGCACAAGTGATTGGCCCCAGCCCTCTGTCAGGTGGCCCAGGAGAGGGTTAAAGGGGAAAAAAAAAAGGGTAAAAAAACCAACCAGCCCCAGCCTTGAGAGACAGGGCTGGAAGCAATTGCTGCTGGGGTTAGAGAAGGTCAAGCAAGCGCTCTGCTGACAGACTCCCCCGTGGCCTTGGCCAGTGGGTGCCAGCAGTGGAAGGCACAAGCACATCAGTCACTCCTTGGACCCTGACTCCTGATCCTGACTGCTGAGCTCTTGGGCTGTGCTGGCGCTGGAGCTGGGTGGTGCCAGCTCTTCTGAGGGTCACCTTACCCAGGCTGTGTGACCAGACTGGACTTACTCCCTGCCCCTGCCTCCTCCCTGGCAGCACTAAGCAGCACTTACATATTCCTTGCTTTGGATTGAAGGTCCTTTGCCAGAAACTCTCACAGCCCCTGTGCTGATCCCTCACTCCCTCCAGCTTTGCTGCTCTGCAGCAGCAACGTGGGGCAGTGAGGGGGCTGGAAGAGCAAGGGGAGGAGTTTGCAGCATCCCACCATCCCAGCTTCTCAGCCCTTGATGCCCGGATGCCTTTGAGCTCAAGCAGCGTTCCTGTCTTTGGGCCTCTTTGGAATAAGAAGTGAAAGCCGAATTGCTTTCCCAATAATTTCCTGCCTGTCTCCTCCAAGGGATGAGACTCTGATGCCCCCTTCCTGCCGGCAGCCGCAGACACAGCTCTGCTGTGGCCCCGTGCAGGCAGCTGCTGTAGCAGCATCCTGGCTGCTGGCAGCTGGGCACCCTCTTCCCCGGATCTCATCCTAATCTCTCCTCCTGTGCTTCCAGAGACAGGTGTTTGCCGGTCACTGGGAGTCTGGATGCGCTCCTGCACCCTTGGTGTAACCACAAAGGCACGAGGTGTTTTTGTTGGGATCATTAATAAGGGGACAGGCCCTTTGATGCATTCCTTCCTTCTCCTCCCATCCCCTTCAGGCTTACCTTGATCCTGGAAAGGAGCAAGTGCTGAAAGTCTCTTACCTGCCAGGAGCAGTAGGAGTCTTCCGCAGGACTCTCCAGATCCAAGTGGGTCACCTGGCACCAGCGGAAATCCTCCTGAAAGGAGAGGGGACCTTTCTTAGGATCTCTTTGGACCTGCCCTGGGATATCAAAGGTGAGCACTGCCTGTCTGCTCCCCAGGAAGGTCTCCTGGTTTTTCCTCCCTTTTTTTTTCCCCTGTAGGGCAGCACACACCCATCTCCACCAAGCCTGGAGGTTGCAGGGCTGCCAGACCAACACTTTCCCCCCTCTGGTTGCTTCCTGAGCCTTGAGCAGAGTAGCCCATGTGGGCTTTGTCCCAATAACCACCCTGCAGATCTTGCCAGCACATCTGTCAGAGGCCTGGAAAGATGATGGCTAGGCAGAAAACCTTGGGAAAACTGCAAGAGTGTCTGGCAGGGCTTTTGGCAGGGTTGAATTTGCATGGTATTTCAGGGGATGAGATGCTCCTCTGTGAGGAGGACAATGGCTGAGAGTGAACATGAGGATTTAGAGAGGAGCAGCAGCATCCACTTTCCACAGATGGCTTGAGGGGTTTGTTTCTGGGAGAGGCCAGTGTTGGATAAGTGGGACTTCCCAGCTTGAATGGGTTTGGCAATGCACCCAAGCTTCTACTTGTGAATAATTTTTTTCCTTCAGGAAATAAAAACTTTGAGAAGATACTGAAGAAGATAAAAGAAAATATGGAAGAAGATAGGCAGAGCGATGCAGCAGATGTTCTGTCAGAGCCTACAACTTTGGAGCCATCCATGGATGACCCTGGCCTCAAGAAGAAGAAGCATCTGCTTGACTTGAGGGGTTTGTTTCTGGGACAGGCCACTGTTGGGGGAAGGGGGACTTCCCAGCTTAGATGGGTTTGGCAATGCACCCACACTTCTATTTGTGGGTTATTTTATTCCTTCAGGAAATAGAAAATATGAGAAGACACTGAAAAAGAAAATAGAAAAATGGGAGGAAGAGATAGAGATCTATGAAGGAGATGATATCATGGAGATGTTCAAGGGGTCATCCGAGGGGTCATCCGAGGGGTCATCCGAGGGGTCATCCGAGGGGTCATCCAAGGGGTCATCCGAGGAGTCATCTGAGGAGTCATCCACGGAGTCATCCACGGAGTCATCTGAGGAGTCGTCCACAGAATCGTCCACAGAGTCGTCCACGGAGTCGTCCACGGAGTCATCCATGAAGTTGTTGGAGGAGTCGTCCGAGGAGTCAGCCGAGGCTGACTCTGGCGTTGAGTTTGGCATCGTGGTAAGAACAGCTGCTGCCCCCATTGGCACACGCCACCCTCCCCATGGGAACTTGAGCCCCTGGCACCCCACAGCAGCTTCCTGTCGCCCTGCTGGCACTTGGGACCTCCCTGCCCACATCTGGCCGTGGCCATCTGTCAGCTGTTGGCCCAGGGGCTGCCCGCCTTTGGTCATGGTCCCTCCTGGAGCTGCACCAGCTTCCTGGCTATTCCAGGGGGAGATCCTGAGGGCCGTACTGAAGGGATGGAGTTGATGGTGCTTTGAAGGAAATGCAGGTCATTGCTGGGGAGTTTGCTGCTCCCAACCCAAGCCCTGCCAGGTTTACAGACCTCAAGAGCAGCAGCCTGACTGTGCCCTGGGGCTGCGCTGCCAGCGCTCATCTCCAGGAGGCTTGGCTGTGGTTCCCTTCTCAAGAGAGCTTTTGCCCAAGCTGCTTTGGCACTGGCCTGGGGCAGGCAAATATCTGGAGCTCTGGTAGGTTCCTGGCTTGTCTGTCTGTCTGTCTGGCCAAATCAGCTTTTCTAGCAGTGGCTGGGCAGGCAGAGATGCTGGAGTTGCTTCCCTGGAGAGAAAGTCCTGGCTCAGAGAGCGGGAAGTGTCACAGACACTGTGCAGCCAGACAGGAGGACCCCGTGCCCCCTCTCAACAAGAGCAGGGTGGGATCCTCTTTCAGATACAAGCCTGGGACTCGGGACAAACCCCTGCCAACCAGCCACTGTCTTCTCTTTCCTCAGTGGGACACTTGGGTGCAGAGAGAGATGGAGCAGGTGCTGATAGAGCAACGTGTCCTGGAGCATCAGAGAATTGTAACCTCCCGTCCCCCCGAGCTCAGGGGCTTTGACAAGAACATTCGTCAGAAGCTCGTCGAGTGAGTAGGGACTCCTGTCCCTTGTCTCCAGGTGTCCCAAGGGTAACACCCAGCAGCGCTCCCTGCTCCAATGCAGGAAGAAGATGCTCTGCAAAACAGATCATTCACGTGCTTCCCTTTGTGGGATTGCTCTGGGAAAGGACCCTCCCCTGAATTTTGCTGGTGTTGATTACATTTATCGGTGATGCTTTTGGGGGCGATTCTGGAGGCAGAGCAGTGAAGATTTCCTGTGCAGGCAAATTTTATTCCAAGGCCCTGAAGCAATTTCAGGCTCAAGCTTTACACCAGGCTAAGCAGTTTCACTGAGACCAGTGGAATTATCTACACTGGCTCTTCATATCAGAGGAGCTGTGACCAGTGTCCATCTTAAACTAGTTTTATTTTCAGGTATTTATCTGGTAACTGATAAAATCTAGGACCTGCACTCCCCGTGACTTCCTGAAGTCACTGCCAGGTGGTCAGGCCTTGAGCGTCAGAGGCTCGAGCTGAGTTTTTACACCAGTGAATACAGAACTATCCGCTTTATTTGCATCTTCCATCCACTTGGGGGTGGGCTGTGGTTTGAGGACTGTCTTTACTCCTCCTTCCAGGTTAGATCTGCCCGATTACATCCTGGACATGGGCAGCGTCATTCGCGGTAACACCGAGACACGCACGGTGAACGTCACCAACACCGGGCTCCTCCCGGTGTCCTTCAGCATTGACAAGCGTGCCCTGCAGGGCAAAGGTAACCAGAGCTGGGGAGACTTCCCGTGGGCTGGAGGGAGCTGTCTCAGACAGATCAGTTTAAGCCACCAGACAAGGGGAGGTTTTTTTTGAGTGTTTTCCTCTCGGTGCCCCTGCTGGGAGCTTCGGAGCCTGAATTCTCCTGGCCAGCTGTGCCCAGGGACCTGGCCTGCCTGTGACTGCCCTAACACTGCACTGCAGGAGCCAGGTGGGCTGATCACCTTGGTCACCCCTCAGCATCTTCTGCCTTTGGTTCCCACGAGCACCAAGTTTCTTCAGGCGCTCTGTGGGCTTGTGCTGCAAACCAGTGGGAGCTGTTGCGGTTTGGAAGTGCTCTGTTTGGAGTTCACCCTGTCACAGCTCTTGTGTTCAGCCTTTACTGAGGAAATAGCCTGTGAGATCCTCTGAGGGATCAAAAGCAGCTTCCAAAAGAGGCCTTTGAGGCAAGGCTGTGCTTTCATCAAACAGTGGCTCTCAGTGTATGAGGGATGCTCAGGTGTCTCCTCTAAGTTGTTGACCAGGAAACAGCGCAGCATGGGGGGATCTTAACTGGAAATTCTCCTTTGGAGAGCTCTGTGCAACCTTCCCTGAGGCGCCTGATGAAGGAACTGCTGGAGGTGCTCAGCTGGTCTGTTTTGGTTTCACCATCCAAGGTAGACCTTGGATGCTGGCTGTGAAAGCCCTTTCTCCTTGAGTGGTGTGTGACAAGTTAAAAAGAGCAGCAGCTTCTCCAGAGATGCAGAATGGTCTTTCCCAGAGCTGCCAGCCAGGACACCTCCATGACCTTAACACGGCTGTGACACGTCTCATGGTGCCTGTTCATCTCAGCTGCTCTATTTGTGTCTGTCCAAGGTTTCAGTGTGGACGTGGACCAGGTGCAGTGCCTGCCCTACTGCAACGCCGAGAGGATTGAAGTGCTTTTCGACAGTGCCAACATGCCAGTGGGAGAGCTGGATGTGTCCCTGCCCATCAAGGTGCCACAGCTTTTGGAGCGGGCAGCAGGTTGGGCACAGCCAGCAGCAAATACCACCTGGACTCTCAGCTGAGTTGTCTGTCCTTCTCTCCAGGTGACAGGAAGCTACACAGTTAACATCCATCTCTATGCCACTGTGACTGAGAATTGCAGCCAGAATGAAAGGGCCCCTGATGCGCAGCTCTCCGTGCCACTGACGGGCTGCTCTGAGAGGCGCAAGAGACGTGACAGCCAGAGATCTCCTAAATTTGCCTTTAGAAGGTGATGGTTCAGTTGAGGTCTGGGGGTTTCAGCAGGAGCCAAGGACTCCCTTGGTGCACCCTTGGCTTTCACTCAAAGGTGCTTGAGAGATTTGGTTGCTGCCCCAGCGATGAGGAATGCTCGCTCTTTTTCAGTAGTGACATCCTTGCATCAATCAGCTGTGTGATCCCTGCTTTTCCAGTTGGGAAAAGGAGGCAGGAAGGTTTGCAGGGGCCTGGCAGTAACGCTGAGCACAAAAAGGGGCTTTGCACACAGGCTGGTGTTCAACCTCCCCCCTACAACCTCTTCTTGAGGATGCCAGTGAAGGGCTCTCCCTTTCTGCAAGCATCCTTGGGGAAAATTTTTTGGGAATGGGCAGGAGCATGAAGGGATTTGCAGCCTGTTCCCAAGCACAGAGTTACCTGTGGGAATTTGCTCCCTGGGTTACAAGAACCACCTGGTGCCGGGGATGCCCAAAGGGATACAAACCCTTTGGAAAGCACCTCCTTGCTCTGGGATATATAGGTTGAGGGCCAGGATTTATTTACATCCATCCACGTGCAGCATCTCCCACAGCCAGGGAAGTGGTACAGAATATGCTTTGCCTACTCCTGTACCAAGAGGATTGGACTGATGTGGTTTCTTCTTCAGGATGGTCAAAGCTGAGAATCCAACCAAGGCTGGAGAAACGGAATCAGCCTCTAAAGGACCCAATTAACCAAGACATGAGCAAACTGAGCAGTAAGAACCTGGAGGACTGGCATTGGCACACCTCCTTTACCAATAAAGCAGGGAAAAATAGTATCTCATGTGAGGAAATCTGTGAATGCTGAGGGGGGGCCTCCAGTGAGACCCAATCCCTGCTTTTTAGACCACTTATCTTCAAACACCCACAAATATTTATGTGTTTAGTATTTATTTGAAGGCCACTGCCCGGCACCTCCAGTGCTAACTTCTTCCACTGCAAGCAAGCTGAGCGATCACTTTGAAAACACATAAATAAACCTGTCGCTGTTTAGCTCTTGTGAGAGGAACTAAAATTAACCTCAGGACCTGCAGTTTCTGCCCGTGGCTGACCACTTAACACACCCACGCGGGGCCCACAGCCCTCGGGGGGGGGGGGGCACCCTTCTGGCCCGCTCTTTGGGATCCAATCACATCCTAGAGGGGTATAACCCTGTCCCAGAGGGTAGAATCCCGTCCCACAGTGATACAATCCTGTCCCCGTTACACTCCCAGAACATCTCCCCTCCCGTCCCCGCCCCTCCGCGCTCCGCCACGATCCCACAATGCTCCGGGGCGCCGCCGCGGGGCCAGCGGCGCGCGGGCCCCTTCCCTCATTCAAATGACCCACGGCGGGCGGCGGCGCGGGGGCTGCCGGGAGTTGTAGTTCCGCCTCCCCCCGGCCCCGTGCGCGTCCGGTGCGCGGCTGGACTCGCCGTCCCGGCATGCCGCGGGGCCGGGCGGGGCGGGGCGGGGCGGGAGCGCGGGCGAGGGAGGCTGAGGGGGCTCGCGCCGCGCACGGGGCCGCTGCCGCCGCCGCCATAGTGGGAGCCCGCGGGTGAGTGGCGGGGGGCGCGACCCGCACCGGGAGCGGGGCGGCTCCGGCACCGCCCGCACCGCGCCCACACGCCCCGCGCTCGCCCGCCGCGGGCCCGCGGCACGGCCCCGGCCCCAGCCCCAGCCCCGCCGCGGGGCGCTGCCGGCAGCCGCGGGCCGGGCGGGGCGGCAGCCGCCGGCCGGAGCCGCCCTGACCTTCCCCGTCTTTGAGGCGCCGGCAGCGCGGTCCCGCAGGGGCGGCGGCGGCGGGGGCCCTGCTTGTGGGTGGGCGGGCGGGCTGAGAGGGGCGGGCGGCCCCGGCCCGGCTCCCCCGAGGGGGGCGAGGGGCCCCGGGGCGCGGATCGCTCCGGCGGGGCCGGCGCTGGCGGGGAGGGGCGGGCTGTGCCTCGCCGGGCTCCGGGACCCTCCGGGCCACCGGGGCTTCTCCTCGGCCTGGCGCCCGCCGGTGCCGCTGCCTTGCCTTGCTTTGGCTCGGTGTGGCAGGGAGGGCAGAGGGGGTGAGCGGGGAGCTGCGAGGAGGTGGCTTGTGTGGCGCGGAGGGTGTGCTCGCGCTTCCAGTGTTTTTGTTTTGTTGTTTTTTTATTATTTTTATTTTATTTTTGACGTTCTTGCTGGTTTGTGTCTTGCCAGAAGGTTGTGCGAGGACTGAAGTTGCCTGACCCGGTTGAGTCTTTGTCACATCGGAAGCGCAGGGTTTCGTGCTTCCTTGGAGTAGAACTAGCGAAGTGCATGTGCTCAGGGATCTGCTGCAGCCGCCTAGTTTTTCACTTTGAGTTGCCAGTTTCCAGTATGTTCTACAGGAGATCATTTTTTGGTTTTCTTCGCTCTTCTGGGCTGTTATCACTTTTTAACTTAAAAAGCAATCAAAACCTGCAAAGGTCCCCAGTAGCAAGGAGCGTGTGTTGCATTCCGTTAATATGGCACAGCTTTCTGAAGGCATTTAAGTCCCCAAGATGCCGCTCTAGCAATCCAAATTTAACTTCCTGTCCAAGGCAGGCTCTTGTAATGCTTCGGCTCATTTAAGTCCATAATTTCCGGTGTAATTGTATCTTTTAAAGGAGTTGGACACACTGTATTGCAGTTGAGCTGGAAAAAAAGCCCAGGTAAATGCTTGAACAGGAATTGGTTGCAGAACTGTTGCTGGAAAGTTAAATCTGATTCCTTAATCAGCTGCCTTCTCACGTTGGTACTCTTTTGACTTCTTGAGGAGTTGTGTTCAAGCAATGTTTGTGTGTCCGGAGCTTGAGTTTTGTTTTAGCAGCAACAGGAAAAAAAGGCATTTCACAGATCTCCACACAGAAGTAGCAAAATTACTGTATGTAGTGAAAAGCCTCATCCCATTTAAATTTTGGTGATATTTTGGCTCTCTTTGGGACTGTTTTTAACTATTTTCCCACTGGGATCCTAATCATTATTTCATATCTAGAAGCTTGCGAGTTCTTTACTAGGTGATTTGAAATGTATTTTGCTTAACGTTTGTGTTTGTTCAGGTCTTTTAGAACAATGCAAATGGTAACAACTTTCTGCAGTCCTCTCTGCTGGGATTTCTTTTGTCCCTGGCAATAATAGGGTTATCTAGTTACTGAAAGCGTAGATTATGGTTTGTGTAGGAGTTGCAATATATGCTAAGAGCTGGTAACAATAATTCTTTTTGGTTACTTTAAAACTCTCAGACATTGTGGCAGTTTTGGGGGGATAATGTTTCCTTTCTGCCTCGTAAACTTGAATTCGGTTTTTGGCTCTGCTTGAAAAATACGGTGCAAAAAAAAAAAAGGCACAAGAAGACACTTAACAAGAAGACATTGTGTCTTCCTCTCCAGTTATGTGTAATATATGTCTGGATGTTTGAAAATCATCCTGGCTGACTCTGTGGCTCCTGTGTTGTCAGGTTGCAGTTAGGATAAACATCGAGCTGCAGGCACAGCAAAAGCTTTCCCAGAGTCCTCCCTGTGTGGTTTGTGTACCAGTGGCCTTATACTCGCTAATGTCTCTAACAAAAAAAAAGAAAAAATAATTCAGGTTGGCATAATTCCCACGTTAATTTGTTCTGATGAAGTTGGAATAGAGGAATAAAAAGTTTCTGGTTGGCCTGGAGCTGCAGTTTGCAGGGGGTTTGCCCCCATGGGTCAGTCAGCTACTGTGGAGATGATTGTGAAAATACCTGAGAGAAGCACTTCCTTCCTTCTATCTCTGGCTTTTCACTGGGTACCCGATGGGAGAACGGGACACCAGGGGCTTAAATTGGATCAGAAGGGATTCAGGTTGGACAGGAGAGCTGCCCCCTGCATGAGGGTGGTCAGCCAGTGGAACAGGTTTGTCCTGCTTTGAGCTGGAGGAGGTCCCTTACAACCTGCATTATTCGGTGATAATTTGCATCGCTTCTCCTCCTGGGTGTGGATCCTTTGCTGAAGGGGGATGATCTGTTGGTGGAGTTGAAGAGGTGAGCTCCTTGAGAGATTAACTGGTCCTGTGGTGCTGGTTCCATTGTGTTCCTCGAAAGGGCACACTGGAGACACTCCTGCCTGTGCAAGTTTTAGCAGCAACAGAAAAGAGACTGAAGGAAAAATAGTCTAAAGCTGTTTGCTGGTTTAGTTTTTTTACCACAGTCCAAACACTGCTCACTCCTTAATCTGAGCAACCTAAAATGCCTGTGTGGTAGTAAAATTGCCAGAGTATCAGGAACTGAAACAACTGAGAGCCTTGTCCTTATTTACTCCTGTTAATCAGTAGTGAAGGGCGCAGCAACTGATGGTCTGAACCACGTTTGTTGTGAATTCACATGTACCCCTGGACCAGCAGCACCTGATTAAAGGCTGTGTTTGTGCTCTCTTGATTCTCAGATCTTCCAGAAAACAAACTTGAGTTTAACTTGGGTGGAGTGGTGTGTAGGGCCAGCTGTTATACCCAGGGAGCATGGTTTATTTATGCTGGGATTACCTGCAAAATAAAAGTAGTCATAACTGAATATTAGGAGGCAATTTTCTCTGCTAGCATATTAGAATGTATTGGTTTGAGGTTTTCCCTCTTTAAATTCAGTGGGTTTTTTTCTTGGTGTGCTGCAGACTAGAAAGACTTTATTGACTTTATTTGTAGCATTCTCTGAGAAGTGCAGGCTTGCCCTGCTCCAATTCAGAAGGAGTTAATTGTTTTTTTAATTGATAGCAGCAAACTTACACATGTCCAGGTCTGATAATGCATTAAAGCATAACTGCTGGCTGAAGCCATTTTTTGTTCTTTCTCCTCGTTGCAGGGATGTTACAGTAACCCACCTGCTGCAAGTGTCGCTGGTGCTTATGTGTTTCAGAAAAGGCAATCTGTTTGTCTGTTGGCAGGTGGCTACTTTTTTTCCAAGTAAAAAAAGTGGCTTTTCCTTAGCTTAGAGCTCTGGTGTTGCCTCTTGAGCAGAAGGATGGACTTTGTGCTGCAGCCAACTGACAGAGAATCGTCTGCAGGTTGTCTTGTGGTTTCTTGCTCGTGAGGGAAGCAACAGGAAGAGGTTTTATCCAGAGGTTTTATCCAAACCTGTGGCAGAAATGGGTCTCTTAAGGACTGTGTTCCCCTTAGGAGGTGTGGACAGTGTTGGTGTGCTGGTGCTGATCTCTTATGCTCAGAACTGAGGCAGGAAGAGGGAGGAGTGTAGACAGGAACACTGAAGCTGGGACAGGCAGTGGAAAAGATGCTATATTTTTGGATTTTGTGGTAGAAAATCTTCTGCCCAAGGCCAGTGTAACCCTATTTTATTCAAGGTCACTCATGGCCCATGGGAAGGCTCTGTCCCCTTCTAGGCCTCCTCTGTCTCATCCCCTGATGCATTTTCCTCCCTGGTGCTGCTCTTTCCTGGGTCCTGCAGCTTCCCCTGGTGTTGGTGCCATCTGCCACACGCCAGAGCAGATACTTGGGAGGTGATGCCTCGTAGGATGAGATTTGTAGGAATCATACAAGGGATGAGTAGAGGGATGGAATTTACACTCGATGTGTCAGTGTCTGGCCTGGCAGAGGTATTGGAAAATTTGATTTAGATGTCACTGTGCTAAAGTCCCCTGCAGAGCAGCAGTCCCAGCTCTGCAGTGTCAGCAGGTACCTGTTGAAGACAAGAGTTGCTGGGACCTGCAGTTTTTGTGCACTGTGCTGCGTTCCAGCTTCATCACTGACTGCTGGGTGATTTTGGGGGTGGGGATAAACTCTCTGGTATGAGCGGATTCCAAGAAATTGAGTGAATAATGTGAGTTAAAGTATTGCACTCTTTTCTGAATAAGCTGTTAATCAAATGGACTGTGATGTTCTGAAGTGGACATGAGGAGGGAGGTTTGGTTTGAAGCATTTGACTGAATATTCTTGTCTCTGTAACCAAACTTTTGAGTGAACCATGGGCAGATTTAGCTGGATGGCCCTGAAGCACTTCTGTGTTGCCCTCTTGTTTGACAACATCAGAACGTGTGCAGTCCTCCCAGCTTTGCAACAGATCTTAAAAGCCTTTTACATTACAGTTATCTCATTAAAACGTGGTGCTGATAAACGTATCAGTGCAATCTTATATGGGTTGTGTCTGGTTGAAAGGGACCGGGCTTGATGACACAGATCATTCCCATCTTGTTCTTTCTTTAGGTACAACTCTAAGCTTCTTAGACCTGTAACCACAGGCAGAAAGCACGAGACAGTGTGAAGGAAAAGGTGACGAATCAGAAGAGGAAAATAAAAAAACCTTTCCAGGGAGAGAGAGAGTGTTCAGCAAAACCATATAGGAATGGCACAGGAAAGAGTAAGGTTGTAACAAACAAACAGAAAAAAATTAGTCAAAGATCATTAATTTCAGACACATTTTTTAGCTTGTTCTCATTTCTGACAAAATCAACATTATAACTGGTCCAGCTTATGCTGGTCTTTTAGTTATTTAATAGAATTTTACCTATCAAAATACAAATACATTTTTAGGAGGAGATAGCAAGCTGGCATACTAATCTATGGATTTAGAGACCACAGTTCTACTTTCCATATTTAAAATCCAAATTCCTTCATTCCTTGCAGTCCCTAAGGCCTTCTCACAGGTTTAGGATGGAACAGGGGGCACCTGGTGCTTGAGTGAGGCTGTTGTGCCTCGAGGGACTGAGTGAGGTGCAGTGCTGGTGCACGGCTTGAGCTTGGGTTTGTGTGATGGCACAGTGAGCTGTTCAGGGTGAATATATATATTGTGTGTGTGGGGAATTTTAATTTAGCAGTAGCTCACTTGATTTAGCTCCAGGACAATAAGCTGGTGGTTTTCTTGCTGTCCACGACTTCATTTCAGTGTGACATGTTTGACTGCTGAGCATTAATACCATCAACTAGATTTGCATTTGAGTGTTTGGGAATGATATCCAATAGTGATGTGAGTTCATGGGTTGAAGTTGAATCTTTGATGGTCCATCAAAAGTGAATCAAAGTGGTTTTCACCTGCGTTGATTGTCGGCTCCACCACAACCATCCCGAACTACACACCCTTGGGTACCCCCAGGACTAGACTGGAAACAGCAGACATCAAACCTGAATTCTAGAACCCTGAAAACATGGATACTACCTGCTGTTATGACATGGATCTGTTAAAACTGATTTGCTCTTCTATAAGTCTGGCCAAATTTATGTAACCTCCAAAACTTCCAGCCGAGAGGCCGAACCCATTTCAGTTCCTATTTGTATGAGTAGAGCTCAGACAGCCAAAGGCCTGAAATGCAAAAAGAGCTTTCTTGTCCCACTATGCACAGAAGACTAGGCCTGGGAATATCCCCTGTGAAGATCTTGGGAATGTGTGTTTTGCTTCTCTTAGGAATTTGTCAAATCCGAAACAGGTGTGTAAGGAATTGACATCTAAAGGAAGCCAAAATAACTGTCCTGTCCTGTGTCCTAAAACAGAATTTCATGCCTTTCAGACTTGGCAGTGCAATTCGAACCTGTAGCTCCAGGATTCCTGGTCAGGGATTACAGAGAGGGATTAGTGGCTGGCAGATCTTGATGTTGAGCAAGTGGAGTTTACGTGAAGTAAACTCAAATCTTAAAATACAGTGTAGTGGGTTTTGAGTGCAGGATTTTTGTGGTTTGAAGTTGAGCACAATTCTTCGGTCTCTCAGAGAGAGATCAGGATAAATAAAAATGAATTTGCTTTCTTGAAAAATGCAGTGGTGTAGTAAAGCCATCATCTGTACTGATGGTGTGTGATGGTTTTTGTAGGCTGGGTCTGTCCAGACTGCTGTGCATGCTGTGTGTTTAATCCCTCTAGAATAGAGGGACTCGTGTTCAGAAGTGTGGGATGAAACCTCTGAGCTTCCAGCACCTTCAGTGGGAGCTGCAGATTTTCACCACCGTGAAAAACGATGTTTCCTGTCTGGAAGTTACTACAGGTTCAAACATAAACACGGAGTTTACTTTACAAAAGTCTAGGATGCAGAGGTGAGATTTGTCCTCCTTATCCCAAAGAAAAATTCAGGCCAGCTGACAGGATTTGTCTTTGCCAGTGCTAGTCCTTGAGCCAAGTGTTACACTTATTCCTGTGATCCTTCTGGTGATTTTGTTGTTTGTTTTTTTGGCTCACAGTCACTGGCTCTGGGTGAGGATTCAGAATGGGAGACAAGCCTATCTGGGAGCAGATTGGATCCAGCTTCATACAACATTACTACCAGCTTTTTGATGCAGACAGGACTCAGTTAGGAGCAATATATGTAAGTATCTTCAGAAAGGGGGCTGGGGCTCCATCCCATTATCTGTCTGTGTCTCTCTGGTTTGATGGGTGAGAATACAAAGGGTGGGATAGTGGGTTTAATCCTGACTCCAGAATGTCAGTCAGTGCAATCACACTTACCCAACTTTTATTTCTATTTTTTTTTATTTATGTTTCACTTCTCCTTTAAGCTTTGTTTAACTTATAGGCAGTCAGACTCATAAAAACCGTTTTTGGCTGTTGACTGGCTCGTATTGGAGGGGGTTGGTGATGATCCTGTGATGAAATGCTCTGTAAAAGCAAACATTCTAGCCTCAGTTTGCCATTAATTTACAGTCATGGGTTTGATTGATCCCTCTTGAATTGGGATGTGATTTAAGTCCTACCCTGCGTTTAGCAGTTCTTCCAGGTGTTTCTTGGATCTCATGCTCTCTTAAAATTCAAAGTCTTGAATCCAGTTTAAAAATGTATATTTTGTTAAATAAATCTAAACTTGTCTAAATTTCCTCCAAAAAATTTTTTTGTTGATTTTTGCTGCTTATTTGGGACAAAGTAGATTTGGAATTAAAGACTGTAAGTAACAAACCCAGGGAGCATCACCTGTTGGTTTTGGGGGAAGATTCCTCCAGAGCATGCAGAGTGCTCTGTATGTGGAGTTGATTACTGATGGTGAGGAATGCAGCTGTTTCAGCAAGACACTTTGAGTTGGGTGAGTTGGAATATCACCCTTTTGGTGCAACTCATTTAGTCAGTTTTCTTCATCTATTTTTCTCTCTCCACATGCTTGACTTTATGTCCATAGGATTTTTTGGGTATCCTTTGGATTTTCTTCTGAAAGCTAACTTTGATCCAAAGGCAGGAGCTTTTTTTCAGGTTAGGCTCATGATAATGAATTGTAGTCTATTTAGTTTCTAGCTGATTTTTTGCAAACTTTTTAAAGTTACTCTTAGTGGTTTCTATCTCCCTTTGAGGTAGTTTTCAAATAGCTGGATTCTAAGGATATATCCTGAATAACCAAAGCCTCTTCCCAGGATTGCTCGAGAGTTACCTGAGAAGGTTGATGACTTTCTTTCTTTCTTTCTTTCCCCCCCAGATTGATGCATCATGCCTTACGTGGGAAGGACAGCAGTTCCAGGGCAAAGCAGCCATTGTTGAAAAACTCACTGTAAGTCTGTAAACCTTACTGAATGTTTTGGGAAACAGTTTTGAAGACTGTAAGATAAGTTTTAGTGAAGATTTGAGTTAGTCTTGCACACCAAACTTGTGCTTCCAACTCTGGTCTTCAAAAAATGTCGTGAATTTAGTGGGGTGTTCCACTGGTGACTCTAATGGTGGAACGTTAATTGACTCCATAGTTTGCAAGGTTATTTTGTGACTGCAATTTTATTTGACATTATTGATTTATTCTTTTTTTAAAAGGTCTAATGCCTAAGCTGCCTCTGATCTAGAGGAATGAAAGGTGTCTTTGCTCTTTTAAGGCATGCCAAGGAAGAAGCAGTAGCAAGCCTGTTACTTGGATCTGTCTGTGATAAAGACTAGACACATAACTGCAAGGAACAACTTGTTTTCTGATACGTAAACTGCAAATAAGTTCTGTAGTGGAGAAGCTGACTTATCCTCAGTGCAGATTTGTCAGCAGTTCAGATGTGAGCAGGTATGGTTCAGGACTTTGCAACGTGCGTTTCCTCTTCAGCGAGTGAGAGGACACTGGAACTCCATGTTGGTTTAGTTAAACTTGGAGAAGTTTTATCTTCCTGAGTAAATTCGTGCTTCTGTTATAAAACTGGGTGTACTTACAAGCTGTCATGAGGGTAGGAAGTTTGTTTCTCTTTCAAGATATGTGGAGGACATGCTTTATAGGTCATCAGACAGTCTGCTCAGAGCATGCTATTTCAGACCAGACGTACTTCACGTTGAGAAGAAAAATCATTGTAACTGGACACTGGTCTTGTTGCACAGCTACTGCTCCTGTCTTATGGAATCACTCCTTTCATCCAAGGCATCTTTAACTGTGAAGACCAAGCTTTGACCTCAGGTCTGTGTTTTAGGTGCCTGTCTTGCCTTTGAGAAGGCCACGCTCCTCAGAAATAGCACAGCTTGCAGCTGCTGGCTTGTAGGTGAGGAGATACTCAAGCTCCAGAGTTGTTTGTTTGTGTACTCAGCGTTCTTTAGACTTCTGGGCTAGCAGCCATTTAGATACCCAACCAGCTAAGCATTTGCTTGGTCACAGTGTCTGACTGCTGCCTTGGATCCAGCCCAGTGCAGATCCAGCCCCTTTCCCACCACGGCACTGCTCATCTTTACCTTCCCTCTCTGTGGTGCAAGTTGGGACTTTCTGGATTTATGTGCCTGCTGCAGTCTTAACTGGTGAGTGAAGACACACTGTTTTGCTTTAGGGCAGCTTTTTCTGACTTGTATTCATCTGCCTAAAGTAAGGAAGAAGTGCAGGAAAGTTACTGTGTGCCCTTGCACCGCCAGGGCTCGTTATGGGGCTGTATCATCTTACTGCCACTGATGCTGCCGAGCATTCCTCTGTCAGCACTGACTGCCTGGGCTCCCTTTGCTGTTCCAGCTTTGTGTGCTCACCTACTCTGTGCTTCTGGAGCTGCTTAGTCAGTCGAGCAGATCCCTGAAAGTTTGACACTGAAAGTCTTCTGCATTTCTGCAGTCCTGTGTCCCTCAGTGCCTGGCTGGTGAATCGGTGTAAGCACAAACAGGTGGCGTTTTCTTTTACTCCAGATTCTTTGCTGTGTGACAGCAATGCTGTGACACATTTTCAGTCTACTGAAGCAGTAGGGCAGGGTTGTGTGGGCATTGCTGTGCCAGCACTGGCACACCTGTACCTTGTTACAGCGTGGGAGGTGACACTTGTTCCTTCTGTCCTAACTGGTGCTGGACTTGTTTCACTTACAGTGCTAATTATGGGCAGCCTGATTTACTGTTTGAGATAATAATCATGTAGTTCTATGAACATACTGGACCAGGGGTGGTCTTGTTGCCAGGAGTGAGGTTATGCTACTCAACTTTATTCTTGCATCATTTCTCTTGCATGACTTCAGGGAGGATTCCATAGTTTTGCTAGTGAGAGCCCAGTCAAATTCTAGTGTCAGAGGATGCTAAAAGCCTTGGTTGTTGTGTGGCTTCATGCCTTCTAGACACATTTATTGTACTTTTCATATCACAAAATCCTTTTCCACCACTTCCCTGGGCAACCTGTTCCAACCCTTTCAGTGAAGAAATTCTTCCTGATGTCCAACCTTAGCCTCCCCCTTAAGGCTGTTTCCTCTTGTCCTGTGGAGTCAGGTACTTGGACCAGGCACTGTCTTACCCAGCCTAGTCTTGAGTTCCTTGTCACAGTTTTGCGGAGCTCTTGGTTCCGAAGCCTTTCCTTCCTCCCTGTTTGCTCTCCCCAGTCTTGCCTCTCTTGTCACACTGAAAACTGGGTTCTGGACACAATTACATCCTTTCCCCTTCCTCCCTCTGCCTTTGAAAGGGACTCTTTTTGCAGGACTTGTTCAGCAAGAAGCTGTTGTGCTGAGGTGGGACTGGGCTTTGTCAGAGGAAGATGGTGCAATGTCCCAGGCTATGCCTGTGCAGGCTCTGTGGGCACGTAGCACATTCATTTTTGGGACGGTGACCCTGGAAAATATTCTGCTGGTCATTCAGTAAGACTTCTCTGCTTTTTTGGTTGTTACTAAATGTCCCTCCCACATTACAAACCAGTTGGCCCACTCTGCACTTCCTGGTTGGTTGGGATTGTACTCCCAGCCAGGCAGAAACACTGCAAGCTTTATTAAAGGGTGTTCTTGAGTAGTGAGGGATACTCTTCACACTTGATTTGCTTCCTCAGGCCCTGATCTTTCCACAATTTGTGTTCTCTGTTATCCAAGGATGTAGCTTCCTGGAATTCTTCCTAGAGCCTGATGGTCGTAGAGCCAAGACTGCACTTCACATCCATGACAGTCTCCACCTCGACCTTCTAGGAAGTCTTTGAGGCTCCTTCCACTAGAGGGAAATGCAGAACTTGTCAAAGGACACGTTTGGCTCTGCTTCAACCTGTTTTCAAATTGGGAATGCAGCAAAGGCATCCAAGTGCCGCCTGAGGTTTGAATGACCACGTGCTGCCATCCCATGTGGTGCCTGGGCTCTGGGCATCAGCCACGTGCTCACCCAGAGCCCCACCCATGCTGAGCTGCCACTCAAACATGTGGCAGTAAGGCAGCTTTTGGGAGAACACTGCCAAAGTTGCATTGGTGTGACAGGACTCTGAGACCCCCCAGATATTTGCTGTTCACCGCCAAGAATTGTCCGTGGTTGGAATGTGAGTGTGGTCCAAGTGTCCACAAGGTGTGTTCCTTAACACACGTAACTCCAGACGTACTGACATTGGCTACCTGAGCATCAAGGAAATTAAAAAGGGGCAAGGTGAATATGTGGATTTCAAATCTGGAATGCTGGTTCTGGGTCATCCACTTTTCCCTTCCATTCACAGCCACTTTAAGGAAGAAGCGAAATTGGAGTTCTCTGGTAAACCTCAAGTATCAGATGATAGAATCTTTTAACACCGTTCAGAGCAGAGGTTTGTGCCTTCATCATACGAACTTTTGAGCTTGCAGCTGATCTGAAGCCCTTCAGGCAGTGCAATTAGAGTAGGAAGAGGTTCCATTTACTATGTATGGTAACATTATTTCCTCTCTTGGTGCTTGAAAAACACAACTGTTACAATTGACCCAGTGTAAGTGGTGTCCTCATTTTCAACAACTCTTGTGTGCAGTACTACTACAATAGTCTTAACACTTCATAACACTGGGTTTGCTCAATTTTTTGTTTTGTAAGTTAAATAATGCAGTTACTGTACCTTTCCTTATTTTGACTTCTTTTCATTGCAGAGCCTCCCTTTCCAAAAAATACAACACAGCATCACAGCACAAGACCACCAGCCTACACCTGACAGCTGTATACTCAGTATGGTAGTGGGACAGCTTAAGGTAAACTCTTTCCATTACAGGCTAACAAGTGCTTTATGTCTTAGATTTTTGCAAGATTCTAAATCATCTGGTTTCTGTAAACATTAAAATGCTCTTGTGGGTGGGGAAGGAGCATGGGTAAGCTTTCGTTGGGCCACCATTCTTCTGCTGTTCAAGACTGTCCAGAAACTGCTCATCCCTCCAGATGTCTGCAATTTGACAGTCACATGTTGTGTCAAGCAGAGTACCATGACTTTTACTGTGCATACAAATACCACGTGGGTTGTAGAGGCATCATTATTTCCCTTATCCTGATGGAGTAAGGTTTCAGGGCCCTCTGTTGCATTTAAAGGCACCATCACAGTGTTCTTGGACAATATATTTTAAAAGAGCTGTTGAGATTTCCTTTTCCTGTTAACTCTGAATGACACCCCCAGTGTCAAGGCACTCAAACCTCCACTGACACTGAACTATTTACTAAGCAAATGTAGGATTTACAATTTGAATCTGCTTGCTTAGCTGTTTTCTTTGTTTTGGGCTGGGCAGTTGAGAAGAGCAGTGCCCAGTGAATTGCATCCACTTTCTGAACCTAACACAGGCAGCTTTGGCTCTCATTAAAGCTGCTCCTGCTTCCCAGCTGCAAGCTGGGTTCTAGCTTTCCTGTTGCTCAGTCCCACATGCACACTCCCTGAGGAAAGACAGCCACAGGTGACCATGGAAATCATGGAATGGCAGGACAGGTACAGGCAGACCTGCTGATCTCCTCAGCCTTGCTCCTGCTCACAGCTCTGATCTGACCAGGGCTTTTTGACCCTATGGCTTGGGCCGGTCACATCTGCACCTGGTTTTGCACAGTCATGTTTTTTAAGGTTATTGCATAATCATCAGGCAGATCACAGCTTGCAGCAGCGATTGGTGCTCAATCCTGTGGCAAGATACCAAGTTTTTAAAGATTTTTTTTAAAGCTACTGAGTCTTCCCATCCACTGATATAGAGGGATTGTAAATGCAGCCCAGGAGCTTTCCATAAACACCATGACTTGGAGTAGTATTTCTTAATGTACTGGTTTTATCCTCTATATAATTTCAGCTTTCTGAAATTACTCAGAATAATTTAGGGATCATGTGTTAGTGCATCTAGGAAAGAACACACTGGCTTAAAGTGTGCCTGTTGTCATGATGAAACCCAACTTGTTTGTGAATTTTTAGTAGATGAGGAAACATTTTTCCGCCCTTCACGTGTATGTGTCACAAACCTTACCTTTAAAAATCACATCACAAATCCTGGGAATGCTGCTTCTTGCTGAACAAGTGTCGAGAAAGTCAAAGTCAACTTAGAACCAGCCAAATTCTTCACAGCCCAGGACAATTAATGCACGTGCTTTTAATCCTCTGCACTTATTCAAAACTTGTATTGTTTCGTGTAATGAAAGAGCATGCATAATGCTTTTAATAGAGTAACCCAAGAAAATAATAGCGCTGAAATACCTGCAACGTGCCGTTTATAAGTTGTGAATCCTGGCATGATATATAAATGGATTTTCTGAGGCATTAGTTGCTTGAATTGCTCATAGTCCCAAAAGTTCAGTGAAAACATTGTTCGTGCTGAGAAAGTTGGGCACAGCTTGTATTTCTTTCTTAAACCACTGGAGGGGGGGGGGGGAAATAAACCAAAGCACAAAAACTTTCACTGTGAAAACATGTTTATAAGTAAACATATGAAAGATCCTCTTTTAGTGGTTGCTGAGATAGGTATTAATATTTGGGGTTTCTTCTGTCCTTTTGAAGACATATAATAAATACACATCCACTTACTCTAATCCTGTTGGGGTTTTTATTGCTGTTCATTGTCTGGGGGCTGCTTGCTTGCTTCAACTAGGGGGAGTAAGGGTTGGTTTAAGGCTTTAGGAGTGATTCCCAGTTGGTGTGACGCTGCTTTGCTGATGTCCCTCCAGAATGTCACCCCATTCCTCCACTGTGCTTCATTCACCTCGTAACATATTTCTCCTGTCGCGCTCAGGCAGATGATGACCAGGTTCTAGGCTTCCACCAAACCTTTTTGTTGAAACATTTTCAAGGTGCCTGGGTGTGCACCAACGAAGTCTTCAGGCTATCCCTCCACAACGTTTAACCCTCTGCCTTCCCTGTCTTCCATGCAGTCCTCGCTGTCCTGGTTGAGTAAGGAGTGCTCTCTTCTCGCCCTTCTTCTTCTTCTGTGCCTTGAGCTGGGCTGAGGAGCATGGCTGTGGCTTGGCCTTCTCAGAGATCTGTGGCTCTCCCCAGAGTGTGAATTTTGAAGTGATTGTTGCAGAATTAATCGTGAATAACTAATTGTTATGCGGTGTTTCCTAGTCTTAAAAGGAAAAGGAAATTTGCAATTAAAATCACTGGATGTTTTTGTAATGCATGCTGAAACACTTGAAGCATTGCTTAAAGCCTGTTAAATGAGGCTTAACGTCTGAAAGAACCTGCAATCTGAAGTAATTAGCCTTTCCTTTGAGGTGAGGGTTGTTGCAACACTGCAGTTCAATCCACAGTTGCTGGGAATGCTGGTGAAGGAGTAAAAGTGTCTCTGGCCAGACAAGAGGAGGAAAGTTGTGCATCTACATTTGGATTGCAAAGCAGTCTTGCATCTAAAACTCTGACGGTGACCTTTGGCTCTGCGAGCTGAGGACTTTGTCTTGAGCCTCCAGGTCAGAAGGGATGGAGAAAAACTGGAAGAGGTCAAAAAGCTGCCAAGATTGTAGGTGTTGGAGAGCTTGTGGAGCTGGGGAGAGGAGGTGGCTACGGGTAATCAGCCTGAAATGTGGGTGGAAAATAGTTGAATACTTCCAACAACCTGAGAGCAAACTCTTCATGGTGGTGTTAGATGATGTAACAAGGGACAGTGGTTGGAAACCACAAGGTGGGAGATACAGATTGGACACAAGGGAAGATTTTTCATAGTCAAAATTTTTTTGAATGGACTATAAAATATTTACCCTATCTTAAATATAGTCTAGGATTTTCCCTGTTTTTGAATTATACTGCTCTTTTGTGCTGTGAAGACATAACATGAAAGGAATAAAGAAAAGAGTAATGTGTGACTTCATTGTGGGGATTCGCCATCTGTACTACAGCAAGTGTTTTTGGGAAAGAATTCCCTTTTTAATCTTCCTTCATGTGTCTGGTCCTGAGTTGCTTAAGAAAGGAGGAAATTTTCCTCCAGCCAAAGTACCGAGAGCTGCAGTGCTTTCACCAGAGCCTACTGAGGCTTATCAGGAATTGAGGAAACCTGCACTAAGCCAGGCTGGTGGTGGTAAAACCTACTCCTGTCAGTAATGACAAGCTCCAATTTGGTGTGAAAGCTATTTCTGAAAACAACTTGTAATAAATGCCTCAGCGATCCACAGTGAAGAGACCGTGGGGCAGCTGAAGGCTGAGAACCAGCAGTGAGGCCGTTCTGGGGCGTGCTACATTTGATACCTGGGAGAAGGTGCAAAAGGCACAGACCCCCAGCTTTCAGGGCACACAGGGCAGGTGTAGCAAGGATAACACTTCCCTTGAAATAATTGGCCCTGCTGTTATGTGTGCTAATGAAGTAGATGGACTGGGCTAATCCCGCCTAATTGCTTGTGTGCTCAAGGAGGTGTGTGCTGAGCAGCCAAGCTCTCCTGCTCCTCTGGTGCCACTTGTCTTGCTTGAAGGATTTTTCTTTCATTCATTCATTTATTTGTCTATTGAACACTGACTTGCTCGTATTTCTGGCCTTACTTGTCGCCTTCTTAACCTCTGGTTGTACCAGTTCCCTTCGTGGCTTTATAGTGATTTATTTGCCTTGCCCAGCTGATGCCCGTGCTGATTACATTTTTGCAAGCCACGGAGGTGTACTCAGTTTACTTCCCTGCAGTAGGAAACTGTCTGGTAACTGGATCATTTTTCTTGCCCTTTTCTGACATTTTAATTTTGATTTTTTTTTAAAGATAAGAAATGCATGCAGGGTTTGATATGTGTGTGTTGGTGTTGGTTCTCCCTTTCCTAATAAATGCTAACCCTGTGCTTACTTTGATAGCTTTTGGGTGCTCAGCTGGTTTAATAAATAAATATCCATCATTATTTGAGTGTCACTTTCCTGAGGGGTGAATCGAGGGCCCTTTTTGGTTTTCCTCTGTGAATTAGCGTACACCCACTGAAACTGCACTTCATCTATGCCGTTTAACTTCCTTGCAGTGGTTTTTTGGATCTGAATGCTTCTTTTTCCATGCACTCGATCCCACCACTGCTCTGGCAGACTTGCTGTTCTGTGACATAACTCTTGTCCTTTGCAAGTTGCCCCTCAAAGCTGGCTTGTTTCGCAGCCCATTTATCACTTAAGTCAATATTACTTCTTTTTTAGTAAAATTTCCTTTTTATTTTGTAGTTTGCTTTGCTCTTCACATTTTCACTTGCTGTTCTTAGTGAGTAGTAGAGCAATGAACGTTCAGGCTTTGACAGCCTGTTTCACATGCTGCTCTGGCTGCTGCTTGTCAAGGCCCTTTTTTATGCATTTCCCCCCTTTTCTGAAGGTGAACAGTCATGTGTTGAAAGAATAAAGCTTAAAATCCTCCCAAAATGCTGAACTGAACACGCTACAGCCACTACCAGAAGACTGGTTTGCAGCTTGGTCCTGTGCACTGCTCAGATTAAATCCCGTGGGTGTGATTTCCAGCTGACTGATTTGGGAATCATTTGTGTTATTTTGAGGATTTAATTCCTGCATGGTGCCTCTGAGAACACTAGTAAATAAACACTAGGTGGGAGAACTGATCTCCCTCTAATACTATTTTCTACTTTTGTAGTAATATTGTAAATGTGCAGGGACTGCACTGGAGTGCTCAGACATACTGTCAGAGGCAGGAGGGGAGGCGCTGCTGCAGAGATTCCCTGTGCTTAGAACACATCCTTGCAGCTCTGGCAAGTGTTTTGCTCCCTTCCAGCTGTTCCTGGACAGCAGAAGTGGGAAGTGCTACGTTGCTGGCCAGCTCTACCTGCTCTGGGAAGGCTTTCAAAGCCCCAGAGCATTATCTGGATCATCCAGGCAATGCTGTTGATACCAAACTCCCTTCTGGCATCAACCCAAAGTGCAGCAGATAAAAACTGAGCCACTTTATTTTAAGCTTGATTCCTTGTGGAATATCTGATTTACCACTGAGGGAGGCATATTCCATCCGTGTGGTGAAGCTACAGAGTGACAATGTGTGTGAAGTCTTCCAGGAAATCCCAAATTCGGGTGTTGATGCAGGATTTCTGTGTCACTGGGTGTTTGCAAAGCCCCTTGGAACAGACCTTGGTGTTACCAGTCTCCTAAGGTTCTACACACCTTACAGCATGTGCCGTCATTTAATGTCAGCTTTAAGTCATCTTACCATGAGTTTTGGGATAAATTTCTCCAAAAAAAGAGTGTTTTGACCTTTTTTTTTTTTTTTCTCCCTTTCTCTTTTTACAGGCTGATGAAGATCCTATCATGGGGTTCCACCAGATATTTCTATTAAAGAACATCAACGATGCCTGGGTTTGCACCAATGACATGTTCAGGCTAGCATTGCACAACTTCGGCTGAGCTGCCCAGACCGAGGCTCCCGTGCTTTTTTTTTTTTTTTGTTTTGTTTTGTTTTTGTTTTCCTCCTCTCCTCCTAACTGGTATTATTCACACTCACGGAACATTCCAAATATCATACACAAACCTGCAGCACTGCAGAGCGTGAGCAAGCAAGACTTGTGACCTGCCCTTCTGCTGAGTTTACATTGTCACTAGATGAGTTTCTTGTGCATGATGTTTGGAAGTTAGACTTAGCTGCATTTGATAAAGAGAAATTTTGTGTTGTACCAGCATGCCTCGGAAAGAATTTATAACGCAAAAAGGTTGTTGTTTATGTACTGACAAGATGCTCTTATATAACCCAAAGAAATGAAAGAACAGCAGCCTGTACAGCCCAGTTATTGATTTGTTCAGATGTTTCAATGCTACGTTACACAATAAAACAGAGATTTTCTTAAAAGTTTAAATTGTTTTAATGAGTTGGCTATGGGGTGTGAGTTGAGTTGGCTATGGGGTGTGAGTTGGCCTTGGGGTGTGAGTTGGCCATGGGGTGTGAGTTGGCCGTGGAGCGTGTGGTGTTGCTGGCTGTGGATATCCCGTGTCTGCCTGGTGGGGAGATGCTTGCAGACTGAACCTGGAGCTGAACAGTGGCCGGCCCTGCAGCCCTGGGTAGGGCGTGCAGGCTGGGCGGTACCCGGTGTGTGCCGTGTCCCCGAGCACTGGTGGCCGTGTCCCCGAGCGGTGGTGGCCGTGTCCCCGAGCACAGGTGGCCGTGTCCCCGAGCGGTGGTGGCCGTGTCCCCGAGCGGTGGTGGCCGTGTCCCCGCGGTGCCTCCCGGCCCGCAGGGAGGGCGGGGGATCCCCGCTCCGGCCCCGCCCGGCGCTGGGAACGCTCTTCTCTGGCGGCGGTTTCCGCCCGGCGCTCGCAGGGCCGGGCCGGAGGCGGAAGCGCGGGCGGCGGGGCCGGGCCGGGCGGGCGGTGTCGGCGGCGCGGGCCCCATGGCCTCCTGCTCCAGCATCGACATCGAGGACGCCACGCAGCACCTGCGGGACATCCTCAAGCTGGACCGGCCGGCAGGTGAGGGCGAGACCTGCCGGGGCAGCGCCGGAGGCCGCGGGGCCGGGCCGGGCGGGGCCTGCTGGCGGGCCGGGCCGCGGGACCCCCCCGGGCCGTTGCGCCGCCGCCCCGCCGGTTGTCACCGGGCCCTGTGGGGCTGGGCACGGCCTGCTCCTTGGAGGCGCCGCTCCTGCCAGCCCGGGGCCGGCGAGGAGCGGAGCGGAGCCCCGTCCGGGCCGGGGACCCGCGTGGGACGGGGGCTGTGGGCGCTGGGCACGGCGGGAGCGGGGCGGACCCAGCGCTCGCTGCTGGCGGGTGTCTGGGCGCCGTTCGGCGGAGAGGAGCTGCTGCTGGGAGCGGAACAGCACCGACCTCCCCTGAGACACGAGTCTACCGTTCCTGGGAGCGCTCGGAGCGTTCCCCAGGGGACTGGGCGCAGTGGAAGGGGCTGTCAGGCTGCTCTGAGATCAGTGCCGTGTTCACACTCACACAGACTTTTCCCTCTCTTTAGCTGTAGTTGGAATGGGATCGCACATCTCTCTCTTAAAGTGGTTGTGAGTGTTCTCCCAGTGCTTTGAGCTGTTACACATCTGTACTCAGAGCCCAGTGGACCCCCTTCAGCCTGTAAGAACATCAGGAGCAGGCTCAGGAGTCAGCAGTGTGGTGTTCCCCGCTCCTGTAGCCTAAGTTCTCTTTCAACCCCCTCATTGCTTTTTGAACCTTCCACAGTGTTTCAGTCAGACCTGATCAGGAGGAGGCCCAGACCATGCAGAAAAATCTGAGCCTCTGGGTAGAGGAAAGAATTTATACCCCTGTTGTGCTCCCGTGGAGGGAAAGTTAGGAATGAATTAGCTTTTAAGTACTCTGATGGTCATTACAAAGGTGCTACCTCCAAAGCCACTGCCACATGTGCTGCCTTTTGCTTGGCCCAAAGGAGAGGTTGGGTGTGGGATTGCTGTGGGAGAGCTGCAGAGGCACATGGAATGATGGAGCAAACCTGGAGTAAGGCAGCTTCGTTAGCTTTACTGCCCACAGAGAAACTTCTCATTACTTGGAGTCGTTTCTGTTGTTTCTGGAGTGCTTGCATGTTCCTGGATTATAATTCTTATAAGAAAAATACATTTTTTTCCCTCACAGTGTGGCACTCTGTACTTGTAACACTGAAGGGAGAACTCAGTGCAGGGATGGGGAACAACTTGTTTCACTTTCTGAACTGAAAGGACGTGCATTGTTGGGAAAGGGTTGTAGTTGTTGCTCAAAAGTGACTTGGCTTTCTCTGGAAGCAACTTTTCCTGCTGGTCAAAGCCAAGGAGTTGACAGAATATGGTTTTATTTCTTATCTTCTTCCCTCTTCATTCTCCTTTTACCTTCCCTGTCGTCTCTAGTGCACTAAGAAGGCAGTTGAGAGGAAAAGGAGCACATGGGCAGAAACTCCACAGAAGGAACCTGTGCTGGTTCTCAGCAGGAATCACTGCCTGGCTAATGGCAAATAGACTCGAAAGAACTGACATAATAAGGTGAAGAGGAAGGATACACATGTTAACTGAAAGCCTCTGGAACTCATCTTAGCAAGTCAGAGGAAGGCGAGAGAAACCAGAAGCAGCCTCAGGAATTTAACCTTAATTGGCATAAAGTTACTGTGGTCAAGGCCCTCTCTGGTTCCAGTTGCTTTTATACCCTGGATTTCACTTGCAGATTTTAATGCCCCCTGGACACTGGTGTAGCTGCTTCCCGAGGTTATTGCCATGCAGAAAGTTCTGCAGAACTGACTGCACGTAGCTGTGAGCAGAATTATGTTACTCTGGGTCCTGTCCAGGCAGGTGACAAGAAACACTCTCTGCTCCAAAGAGTTTACAGCTGCCACAATCCTTTCTAGATTCCGCTGGGTTTGGTGGTCGTGAAAACGTTATTTGTGTTTGCTACCCCAGTCTCTCTTGACACAATTTCTTCACAGATGTTTTGGCAAACATCACCCATTGCTTTGTAGCCCTTGCCCCTTTCTCATGCAAGGGGCAGCTTCCTGGTCAAACCACGGACCTTCCCCTGGAGCAGGGAGAGAGAGAGGCTGTCAGTGCCAGCGTGCTGTGGAGGAGCATCCCTGCTGGGGACTGGCAGGATCCTTCAATCCACACAGAGAGCCCTGCTGATAACAGGTGTGGGTGTTATCACCTGCTCGTGGAAGTGTTCTGTTCAGTACAAACTGGCATCCCGTGGTGCAGGCAGTGGTGGGAGCAGGAGGAGTTCAGTATCTCAGCTCTTCCTTAAATGAGTAAAAACACTCTTCTTTCCCTTTTCAGGCCTAGATCTGCCAGTCTGGGTTAACCTTTTGGCTTTGTTCATGTCCTTACTACAAGCTGAGCCTCTTCCCTTCTTTTATGCCTCCAGGATTGGTGTGCAGGCAGCACCTGTGCTTGAGCTAAGCCCAGTCCTGAACCTGAGTGTTGTGCCCATCATCCTCTGGGGAGTGTTTCCTCCTTCCCTTTTTCCCTGGAGCGAACGTTCCTGTCCCACTGTCCGCAGAGGAGCAGCGATGCTCACCTGAGGCCTTCCTGTGGCTGCAAACAGAGCAAAGAATGTATCATCTTCCTCTGGCAGCCTGGGTGCGGTTCCTGTAGGAAATGTTTTCCTGCTTTTGGTCACAAAGGATAAAGTGCTGTCAGTGGAAGCAGCCACAACTGGGCTGTAGGAATGAGGGGCGCATCTCAATCTCACGACAGCAAGCACAGCACCAGTGTTAGGTGGTCACAGGACCACACTCCCTGACCTGAATTTCCCTGTGATGTGTGAGTGCCACTGCTTTCTCTTCATGCAGTGCAGGTACACTGAGGTGAGTGCCCAAATGGTCCCTGCCTCGGGATACCCTGTCACTTCACAGGTCTTTTTGTGTCCGCGGCGTGGTTACTGATTTAATGACTCTTCACAAACAGGCAAGTTTTAAATGTTCTTCTGCCAGATGAATAGTTGCAGTTGTTTCTCAGGCAGCAGCGCTCCTCCTGATCTGTTAAAGCCTGTTCAGTAACTGAAAGCTTGCCTTGCCTTCGAAGGACAGCCCCTTGCCCACGGTTGCGTTTAGGTTTGTTGTGTGTGCCAGTGCCGGTGGAGCTGCTGGTCCTGGGAGCAGCCATTTTGCAGGAGCTCAGCAGCACTTGTTACCTGGCAACAGAGTACGAAATTTCGGTTTTCCAAACCAGGGACAATTTCCAGTGAGGATTTGCTGAGGCAGGCGGCTTTGCCTGGGGTGGGCTGGTGTGTAAGAGCAGAGGGAGGGGGCTCCTCAGCCATTTACCCTGCTAGTGAAGTAGAAGAGTCTCCTTCGCCCCCTGTTAAAATTGTCCCCTTCTAAAGCCTTCAAAAGGCGTGGAGGCCACCAGGCAACTTGTGCTGGGCCAGATGCACAGTCAGGGCACAAATTCTTCAAAGCACAGCTGAAGCTCTGAATAAATGGTTGCTTTACACAAAACTCCAGTGCTGTAAACTTCCATGGGGTTGTTTGACCAGCGGGAAAATACGGGAATCCTGGAGGCACAGCCACACAGTTTTGTGGCAAAATTACCTGAACACCTGGACTTTGAGGTCAGTTCTCACCGTCAGAAGCAAGTTTTGGAAAGTAACAAACGCATTATTTCCAGCCAGCCCCGAATGTGGCAGCTGATCAGTGTATTGCTGGACTTCAGGGGTCTCTCTGCAGGCCTGAGGGTTCAAAGGGGCCTGTCAAGAACCTTTTGGTCTGGCCCTTGATTCAGTAAACCTGCATTACCAGCTTAGTCTTTTTGATCCAAGACTTTTTGCTCCTTGAACCTGCTAAGTAAGGAAAGTACCTGTTCCTTGGTGTTTCTCTGATCTGCTGGGATTGCTTGTGTAAGAAAAGCTACGACTTCGCTCAGATGTGTGGGGGTTTCTCACATGGGAGGTCTCTTACCCATCCTTCTTGGAGAATACTTTTCCCAGCCAATCCAGCATATTCTCGCTGACAGACCCATAAAGGCTGGCAAAAAGCAACAGTGTTATTTCTGTTAAATGAATATTGGGCACAGCTAGTGATGCTTTTCCCCCAGGTTCGGTGAATGAGAACCAGAGACCGTCGAATTCGTACAACGGAGACCTGAATGGACTGCTGGTGTCTGAATCCCTCGGGAGCGGAGATGGATCTTCCCTGGCCAAGCCAGTGCATCGCAGCATCTCCCTAGGAGCCCTGCAGGAGAAACAAGTCATGTAAGTTTTGTCCAAGAAATGCTGAGAGCAAATAGAAAACAGCTAAAATTCAGTTCTGGCCAGCCTTGGGTACTTATGGTGGGAGTCTGACAAGGAGCTTTATGTTGAGTTCAGGTGGTAATCGTGAGTCAGAGCTTTTGTAGCTTTTGTGAGGTTGATGCATGGAGTCTGCAATCCTTGGAGCTCAGGAACTGAGGAA